GAGAAAACTTGTGGGTTGAGATAAAAACAGTTTAATAATTGAAATAAAATAAAATAAAATAAAATAAAATAAAATAATAATAGAACATACAAAGCAAGTGATGCACGATCCAATTGCTCGCCACCTGCCAAACGATGCCCAGCCAGTTCCCGAGCAGCGGTCACTGCCCCCCAGCCAACTCCCCCCAGTTTATATACTGAGCACGACGTCATATGCTATGGAATATCCCTTTGGCCAGTTTGGGTCAGCTGTCCTGGCTGTGCCCCCTCCCAGCTTCTCGCTGGCAGAGCATGAGAAGCTGAAAAGTCCTTGACTAGTGTAAGCACTACTTAGCAACAACTAAAACATCAGTGTGTTATCAACATTATTCTCACCCTAAATCCAGAACACAGCACTGTACCAGCTACTAGGAAGAAAATTAACTCTATCCCAGCTGAAACCAGGACAAAAGTTTACCAACAACAGCCTCTACTTAATACTCTCCTCCCATAAAAATTATGTTCATATCTGGCACATAACACAGTGGCAGACTGCTGAAGGATTATAATTTAAATCTGAAATACAAAAATTGTGTATTAAAAAATCTCCACCAAAGCAGAGGTATCTTAATAAGGACAATATTTTTTTCAATACAATGAAAAAATAAGATTTAAAAGATGCTTATGTATACAACTGCAGTCATAGCTATTACGCTCCACATAACATTAAAGAAAGAGGTATCAAAATAGTTCTATGTGAATGAAGCTGCAAAAAACAAGGAGAAATTATTTGAGTTATTAAGTCTTACCTGACCAGTGTCCAGTGGTGGTACCTGATCTGTCAGTACAGGTCTCGCTTACAGGCCTAAATACAGTCTCCCAGCCACCGGTAGCATAGCGCCAATTCTGAGACTCTAAAATGAGTGTTCGCTGAGTGCCATAAGCAATCATGAAGCAGTAGACTACGTGATGAAGTTGACAACCATAGCCACAGCCTTTGTTGATATTACACACAAGTTTCTTAGCTTTGCTGCAATCCTTCGGATTCTGTAAGTATGGATGAAAAAGTGAAGCTGAAGAGAAGATATACACAAAGGCATACTTTTTTCTGAACAATGGACAAATGTCATAAATCACACAAGTCATCCTGCTGTAATACATTTCATATTAAAATGAATGAGTAAGCTTCAGCTCCATGAAAATTTTATGTGAATTCTTCACTGTGAACATGAACAGTTATTGAACACACTTCACTGTCCTAATATAAAATAGAATACCTTCAAGATTTTAAATTACTTTCTCATTTGTGAATCTGTCAGAATAAGCTAACATTTGGACTCAGAGTTCACATTTCATCAACATGATTCTCAGAGTTGGACTGCTTTTTCCTGTGGCATTTTTCCAGGTTTGTTAGTTCTCTTTCAATGAGCATGCATGTCATCCAACGAAAGAAAATTTCCACCTGTCTACAATATACAGAATAAAACAAATGCTTATTAATGGACTGCTTTCCAGACTAACTGACCACAGAGCAAATACAGAATATAAAACACATACCTGAGCAGACTGATAAAAGACAGTATTTTAATCTGCATGCACTCTCAATAAAATAATATATTACACTTCCACAATCCAAGGAACAACAACAAAGGAGGCAAACATCTACATGATGTGAATGATGTTTAAAAGTACAAACTAATAAATAGTTTTAGGTATGTGGACAACACAACAACATAATCTACAGAAGTTTTTCTTTCTGTAAAATATAGTACATTGCTGTACACATTCGTACTTGCATGTCTCTAGACATGCTTCTGCATTCCAAAAAAGTTTTTTATAAAATCTCTAGGATGAAAAGTTAGTTTTCAATTAAGCTGCGAGAATACTGATATTTGAGCGTCAATATAAATTCTGTTCCTCTCACATCTAAACAACTTTATTTAAAGTTTTCTGTAAATTTGCAACAAATCAGGTCTTTCCAAAAACCAACAATCACCGTCTGGAGAATGGAGATCTCTCCATCAAGTGATCTTAAAGATAATCTGAATATTCTGAGTACTAAAATACTTAATAAAAATTTTAATTTGTGCATTCAGTTGTGTAAAGGAGGGGAGAATAGTTCAGATCCGGAAAAAAAAAGAAAAAAAAAAAAAAACCCCACAACATGTGTTACTTCAGCATTTGATTTTTTTAATTTTAAGGAAAAAACATCTGATTCAAAGCCTAACTAGCTATGAAAAACAATAAATTAAATAAAATTTCCATTCCTAACTTCTGTTTCCCAGACCCGTACCCTTGCTATCACAAATCTAATGGTTAACTTGAGACTAAATCTAACAGGTATCTTTGAGACTATAACAAATCTACTTCCCACAGTCTTTTAGGAGAGAAAGAGGGTTTTTCTAGCATTGTGTACAAGTCCACAAAGAAAGAATTCCATGAAAAAATATCTCCTCCCTAAATCTACAGACATATTTACACCACGCAATGAAGTACAATGATAGCAGATGCAAGCAGAATCATTTTCTGCTGTTAACTGTTACTGTGTAGAAAAGACTTAAGCTCAAAAAACAAAGACAATAGTGTATATTGTTATATTGCTATTTTTTTAACTTAAATATTAGGCTAATTAAAAAAATAAAAGAAGTTTCTGTCATTTAGAGAGTTGTCAGAAGCAGACATAAGTGTTCAGTTGTAGAAGCTGAAAATTTATATTTTGTGTTTATCTGCTTTCTATTTTTGAAAGATGTGTCTAGATGTTTTAACTGCTACTTAATAATAATAATTCATACTTTATACAGAGTATCTCAGAAGAGTTTTAATACCATTGTGTAACATACTATAACTAGATTGTAAAAAGAACTATTATGGCCAAAAGTAAACCATTAGCAAAATGTATTTATCAAAAAGTAGGACATATGAGTCTGTCACAAGATCTCAATTGGCTTAGACAGAATTTTATTTAATTTATTTTTCAAATGAATTAATGATTTTGCAATATATTTTTGTTGAGACATCTAAAGATATCTTGATTTTAAAGAAAGCATGCAAAAAGGAACAATAGATACATTAGAGATGTCAACAGGGCCATAAAGCATGTTATTAAGACTGTCTTCCCATTTTTTTCCACATTGCAAAAATTCTTATTGAAACTAACTTTTTTGTAACTATTTTGATAATCTCTGAGAATTTTTAGAAAATACCAATAGATGATGTTTTCTACACTTTCTATTACCTTCAAATGCCTGTGTCCTCTTGAAAATGAAAGCATTTAATTGATGACATATTTGAAGTTGTGTAAACTGTTGGACTTGCTGATCTTAAAGGTCTTTTCCAATCTAAACAATTCTATGATTCTATGATTCTAATATTAGTTTGTGACTTATATAGGAAGCTAGTTAAGCTAATTTCTTTATGACTGTGTTTTTTTCAAATTGCTATACTCAAATTTTAAGACAAGGCAGTATTTGAGCTTAAATTATTTACTGAGAACTTAAAAAAAAAGAAAGAAAGTAGAGATGCTTAGATACATTGCAGTTTCAACTGGGATTTCCTGAAAAAGGTGGAATTAATAACCATAGAGAAGAAAGAAAAATTACAATCACATTGCATGCATGAGAATAGTTTGTGTGTTCATAAGCCAAAACTGCCAACCAAAGCAACCCATAAAGGTATTGAGTTGATAAAGGATAACAACAATTTCAAATCCAGCAAAGACTGACAGAAGATTTTTCCTCCTGTTATAAAGTCACAGAAAAGGATTATAAATCTCTGATTTGAATGAGCAGTGCACTCTGTTCTCATCCCTAACTACACTGCTCATCACAGACTCTTATATCCAATTGAGTCATGTACATAATCAAGAGAGGGATGGAAGGGACCTCCAGGATTGTTAAGCCCTGTAATGTAACAGCCATACAACTGCATCAAAAAACAAAGAAAGAAACGCCCCACAAAAACTCAAACAAACAAACAAAAAAACCAACCAACCAACCACACAAAACATACTTTAATATGTAGAAGATTAGATTATGAAGCCATGCCAGAGTTTACGTCTTTTATTTTTCTCAAAATTACTTACATGAACACTGCAACTGAAAATAGTAACAAATTTGCAGAACTGTAAAAAGGTTAAAATTATGTATTTCTGTAGAAGAGAATGTTACGTACCACCTAAAATAAAACTGGATTTTTATAACTGGCAAAATGGATTCGGTGCTCTTTCATCACCAATAACATGGGCATACTGTTGCTCTCACAAAATTCAGGGTTTCCACTATATTTATACAGTTAAACTCTCACCCAAATAAAGGCAATATGCCATTACTTCCTACTTGCAAGCACTGGCAGATTCCAGCTCCTTCTTCCCTTAAGAAGTTTTACAGTCCTTTAGGCTGCAAATGACCTCTCCTGCCTAGGTTACAAGGAAAGTAGTATATGCAGATTTTGTCTGCAAGAAATGTATCTCCCTAATTCTTCTTTAATTAACTTTCATTGGTTTGCCTATTTGAAGGAATATCCTTGAATGGCTTCTTTTGAATAACTATCTTGGGTAGCTACTTTATCTTCATCAGACTTATTTTAAATTGTTCTCCTGCATCCATTTAAAAAATATTTTAACTGAGACATACCAAACAGGAACACTAGCCTTTAAGTAAAATTATTTAAAAGTTATTTTTAGTACCTATGGTTCACCAAAGGAATGCTGCCACTATAAATCTTTACAAGAAGACTAACAAGACTGAAGCAGATTCCGTGCCATTATGACTGACTGCCCCAAATATGTAAGTCTTGTTAAATTCAACCTTAAACTTAATTCTGCAAAAGCAGCATAGTATGAGTCTTGTATTGAAGTATGCCTTCTTTAGAAGAGACTAGACTGTCATTCCCTACTCAAGTTCTCCAGGGTATTCAAGATTTTGTAGACCTCTATGTATCACATCCCTTTCTCAGTTCTCTTAGTAGGCCAAAATCTTCATCTATGTAGTCTTTACTCTCAGAGATACCAGGTTCATGTATTTGATCATCCACATTACTTTCCTCTTCAAGTTTTCTAGTTTTATTATATTGTTTCTGACACTAAGGGACTAGAACTGCACAGTCTATCCTTGATGCAGATGCATTGTTTAAAAACTGTTGAGAGCTGAAATGATATTTTCACAGAATTATCTGTGGTAACTCCAAGATCTTGTTACTCAATGATACTAGCCAACTGTATATGTGTATGTGCATTAAAGACTCTCTTCTGCCATCTACATAACTCAAAATTCAGTGCAGATAACTGTAATCTACAGTTTTAATATCCAGTCAAAGATAACATAACTGGAGTATGAGCTAATAGTGTAAAATTCTTCTGCAACTAGTCTCAAGCTGTTTAGCACAAAGTTTGCAGAATACTGATGGTATTAAAGCCAGATATTTTAAATAAACTGTTTAAAATGCAACAAGTTTTTGCTCTTAATTTTCTACCTCTAATTAAAACAAAAACAACAAAAAAAAAGAGACTGAAATCATGGGGAGTATTACATTAAATAAGTATTGTCTCATAAAAAACCTGAAAACCTGGAAGAAGTTTTGAGGGGAAATTATAGCTATAGTGGGAAATACCCATTACTGAGTGGGTATTTATTTGCCCCCTAAACCAACAGCAATATTTTAAATGGAACCATCAGCAAGAATGGTAAGAACAGACCATATCTCTGTTCACATAATTCTACATATTAAACAAAAGAATCAGTAGGTATAATGCTCTCTAGCACATTATTTATACCATGAGTACATTTTTGTTTCTTATTCCTATTGGGTGACTGCGTACTCTTGAGTAAAATGAAAACACACTCCACTAATTCCATAAGGTGCTGAAAGATAATGAAACACCACAGTATGTTCTTAATATAATGTGTGGCTCCAAAATTACAGTTTATGGTATTTTTACATTCAGATTACTAGCATACAACAATAGCAACAAAAATCAAATAAAATCACAATTGTTAGAAACATGATAATTTGAATCATATAAACATAGGCAAAATGTATAGTAAGAAATC